CGAACACGGAAAAGGTGGAAAACCAGAAAGAAAATCCCGCATAATGCACGAAGGGAAGAAAAAGAAAAACGAAACAATATATATATAGATATATTCGCTTCTTTATCACGAGACGCATACAAATGCGTGGGTGGGGCCCGATGTGTGCTCGATGCGAAGGGCGCATGGAACAGCCTAGATTAGCTAATTACTGAATTCCGTGTATAAATTTCACCCACATTTTCCTTTTTCCTTTTCCCGGGACCGCGGATTTGATTAATGACACGGCGTACGTATCGCGACTTTGGAATGGCAGAAACGGGAAAAACGCCCGTCCTTATCGCACTCCAGGACGAAATAAAAAATGAGCTCAAACCTGGAAAACTCGAAGCAAAAAAGAAAAAATCAAGTAAACGTGAAAGCTGGTAAAACGGAAACATCCATCATCGCGTAATTACGAGAGGGAAAACACTAAATCGTTTTACTTCTCGTATTAATATTTATTTTTTGTTTTTTTTTTGACAAAACCGCCCCTCCAGCAGAAATAAGCAAAACGAAATTCTTTCGCCCAAAACACAAATCAAAATGTCAAATCGTAAATCACGAAACGTTATTTTCTATGCGGCAAATATCCAAATGAAAGAATGAAACAAAGTAAAATAAAATAAAGATTAATAGTAGAAGTTGGATACTAATTGGAAACCTAAAATAAAAAGATAAATCATATGAAATAAAGCATTGAAACTGAAATAAATGTTGAAAAACTATGAAAATTATGTTATATAGATACAATCAAATTAATAATAATAATAATTAGATAATAAAACTTAGGTTTGTCCACATAAAAATGTGATATGAATAATTTGTGAAATTGGTTAAATAAGTCATTAAATGATTAACATATTCCTACTTCAATCTAGAAAATATTTGTTTTAATGAATCTAGAAAACGCAACCAAAGTACATATTTTATGGTATACATTTTGATAAAATGTGCAATTAAAATTAATTGAAATGTTCAATTCTCGTCAGATTGTTTGCTGCGTTTGATAAGAATACGTAGTATATGTGTATAATGAAAAGTGTGGAAAATTAAGTGCGATATTTAACAGCAGTAAACGATCGTCGGAAAGCTAAGTTACAGGAGGCATTATCTTTGATGTGACAAATTAGCTTGCGTCGCCATTTACACGCGACATTCCGTTTGACCTGGAAAAATCACCGACCACGCGAACGTCAAACGTGGGATGTTCCGTGCTTTGTTCACAAAGACCTAAAGGCTCTACCTGCCTAATTAATTATGCCAAAAAGCCTCGCACCTGCGACGTTATTCCTAAACGGACGATTAACTCATTAGACATTTCCGAGCTTCAACATCACCTAACTCTGATATGAAAAATATAATAATCTTATTTCAAATATAAAGTTATAAATATATTTTAAAACAATTAATAAAATTTATCTACGTGTTCAAAAATGCTGTCTTATTATTACTTTTCTCATTATTTTGGCTATAGATGATATAAAAATAATAATAATACTAATATTTTCAAATTTTAACATAACATAAATATAAACATATTTTTTTTACTGTTTACCGGAGAGTCGAACCGAAATTAATTAATTAATTCCGGTTTACGGTTACGTCCCAAATAAATGTTTATCGTTCTAGATTCGGTTTCGGTTCGTCTAAAAATTTCGGTTCAGTTTCAGTTCGGTTCTGGTTTAGTTCCGGTTGAAATTAAAATTTAAAATCGAAAAAAAAAAAATAATTATTAAAAATTAATTTCTGTTTACGGTTCGGTTCGACTCTCTGCTCTTTATATAATCTTAGTATTGACACATTAAGAAATGTTTATCAAACTAAGAACTACCTCAAATAGTTTGATATAATATCAAAATGTCATATATTTATGTCTCCTGTTATGCATCATTATTTGCCTTTCTCCGGATATTAAATTCAGATATTTTGGCTTAATCTGAATACTTTAATTGACTTTGTGACATGATCTACGATGTTCTTATATAAACTATTAAAGCGATATGTAAAATAGTGTAGAGCTATTTAAATTGAACGTAGGTGATTGATTTAACGAGAACTCTGGGCTGAAAGAGCGTTTTGAGTGTTTATTTTTCCTTTCATTCTTGAATTCCGATGGGGAATGGTTTTATATGTTTTGAAAACTGTTAGATGTACAATTCCGCGATGCCTAATGAATTTATTACAGCCATTAATCACACGGCGCGGCGCGGCTACACGTAATCAATAATTACTTATCGTCGGAGTTTCTTTCATTCGATTATACGAGGACGACGACGGATGGAAAAAGTAGTTAAAAAAAGAGAAGAAACGAAGCAGCGAATGTCATGCGGAAGGTTATTAACAATTCGCCGTGGTAAGCACGAAAAGTTCTTATTTGGCTGTGGCCATAAATCACGCTGCTGAAGGAAGGCCCTTCTTCTCGCCATGCGGTGGTTTGGTTCTTCGCGTCTAACAACGACTACGACAACGACTGCCCAATGGAATTAAGTTATTTGTTTTGCCCCCCTTAGATTTTTGATTTATGGTTGCCACCGCCCCGGGACGGCAACACTAATTGAATACCGTTGAACGTCCTCTTTGTTTCGTCCGTTCCTTTGTTTGCCTTGCACTCAGAGTCCTCGGCATTATTCCGGAAAGATAACAAATGGTATCGAGGCAAAGCAAAACGGTAGTCATTTGTCCGCACTCTTGTGATCTTCGTCTTAAGAAAAATGATGTTGTTGTTGTTGATGCAGCTCGGATATTCTCACAAAATACAAATGTTTTCATGTGTATCTTAGAGATAAAGCGAATAATTTATAGAATACCTATATTATATTATACAGTTTCTGTTTTATTAAATGCAGGAAAAGAAAAGTCAATTCTTATATAATATATATTTATAAATACATAAATTCCATTACATTACGTATGGATTGCAAAATCACAGCTGTCAACTTTGTAAGTACAATCAAATATGTTGGATCGCGAGCAGAAAGGTTGAGAAACACTGATTACACAAAAATGATTACACATTACAATCATTACTTAATATAATCATTTTTAACTAATTATATATTAAAGATAAAAACGGATCTGAGAATTAATATTAATATTTGTTCTAATTACAGCAATGCTCAAATAGTATGGGTAATCGGTTTCGTCAATATCCCGGACTGTTTGAAACATGATTAAACGAGTATAAGAGACTTTACTGTAAAAATCATTTTGTGTGCTATTTTCTTAGAATATATTTGTATGTTGCTAAATTAAAAATTTAATTTATTTCACAACGTATTATAGTGAATCCGGACTAATCGAAGCCGCAATATGCGAGATAATGATTGCTGTAATATTATATCAAAATATTACATTTCAGTAAAAAATCATCTGTCAGAAACAATATAAATACAATAATTTATTTTAAAAGTCATATGTAAAAAACAGATATGTGGAATATAAAAAGAAATAACTATATTAAAATAGTTATTACACCGAAACTATAAGAAGATGCGAGGTTATGTGAAAAAAATGAAATTTTATTAAGTATGAAAATCGGGAAGTTAATATTCATCATCTCCTGTATTTAAATTCTATAATTTAAAAATCTGTTTTTACAAACAAAACAAAAGTTGAAGCACCAGTAATTCTCACTATTATGTATAGTCAATTATTAAATTTGTAAAATACGAATTCTTGCTATAAACTAGTTTATCTTGAAAATTATTAAATTAATACTTAGAATTTCCCATTAATTAACTTATTTAAAACACTTTAGGTTCCAGTAATTTAAAGTGAAAGACGTACACCTAAATAAATTTATTTGTAAGAGTATATACTTGCATTTTCATGAATTAGCTCGATTTTAATATAATTTAAATATATTAATACATTAAGCTATTAATGTCTTACGGATGTAACAAGTATAATTAGATAAAAAAAATGTAGAAATTATAAAGCATTATATTAGTAATAATCATAATTTGCACAAAAACTTAAATCAATTTATATGAAAAAATATTATTTAATTGTCTTTCATTACTCTCAATTACATTATAAAATACATATTTAATTTTAATAAAGTAAAGTTAAATTTGTTGTATTCATACAATACGACATATCTTTTAAATTAACGTCTTAATTGCATTACAAAAAATCAATATACTACTGTAAATCATCATAATGGTAACTATCTTCAGGGACAAATTATCCATTTAATGTCAACCGCGATCTTAAATTTACTCAATATTCATATTGATGAAGAGATTGTGAATAAAATTATACGACATTAAAAAAAATCAATATATATTGTAAATGTATTAGTTTTCGAGTAATTCAGTAAAACATGAGAAATGTAATGGAATTCTTCACATGATACATCTTACCATATATTTAATTGTGCAAGTTTTAAATTTATGTGTATGCATATATTTTCACTTTTAAGCAAGGACAATTTATTATTAAACTATCCAAAGACCAAAGTTATCTTATTTATTGACCAGAAACTATAGTTCCTATTATGAAAAGTATAAATTATAGCTAATAATAAAAATAATAATGTTTTTTTTAATATTTTTTTTTATAATTATGACAATTAATAATACCAATACCCTAAATTTATTGACTCCAAAAACAGAAAGTAGAGTACAACTTTTGTTATAATCTCTGAGAGTGTTAAGTTGTAACTGTTACGTTACAGTAAATTCACTAATTATATAACAAAGCACAAAAAAAAACTAGTACTTTACTAAGCAATTAGTTATGGCTAATTAGATCAAGATTATGTTATAATCATGCAATTAGATTTTATTTTACATACGCACTGGTTTATACATGCAATCTCATTTATTGGAACTGCACAAAAAAAACTAGTATTTAGCGAGACCAGCCGTTCGCTCTGTAAATGCAGTTCTAAACATGTTGAATTCTCTTCCTTCGGTTTGCTGTTATAGTCATTAGCGGAAAGTGGCAAATTTGCATCCGGCAGACAGACGGTAGGCATGGAAGATAAGAATAAGAAGATGAAGAAGAAGAAGGAGAAGGAGAGCAGCATTGCATGGACGTTAGTAATCGGAACGGGATTGGGGCTTGATCTATGGGTTCATTGAGCCAAAGCGGTCAGCACACACACACACACTTATATATATATATACATATATGTATAGATGCACACCACATAACCAGAATATATTCGACGGGATCATGAAGAGAACGAGTTCTGGAATTGCACTCCGAAAACATTAATTCGCGAACATTCTGCAAATAAATTAAATTTAAAAAAATATATAATGAGATGATATATCTGCTGGAAATGTTCTTCCATATTTCACACGCCATGATGAATATCGTAAGCATTTACGGAAGCAGTTCAACTAAATGTATGTAATTATGCTATTATTTGCAATTTACAAAGGTTTAACGCACAGCGAGCTTCGACTTACTCTATTCTACTTGTTCTAATTGGACTTCCTCATGTCCAATGTTTTTTTTAATTATTAAATGATTAATTATATACGTTATACGAGTATTTATCTAATAAGACCTATCTTTTTTACATACGGAAATCAAAATAAAATTGAGATATATTAAGTTGAAAAATTTATTTAAATTGGAAATATTTTAAAATTCGTAAACTTCGTAGAATTTTCAGTTGAAATATTGGTCCAAATGAATCATCAATTCGAAGATTAATTTAAAGAAAATAAGAAACCGGACAATAAGTCATTCAAATATATTGCATAAAATGAATACAAATTCAAGAGAAACCTCCCATTATATATTATGAATAAAAAAGAATATACAAAGATCCAAAGAATCAAACAATACCTAATAGCAAAATGATTACTTCTAATGTTCTAAACAAATTATCACTATAAGGTTAAAATAAAGTTTTAGTACAAAAAATACACAATATTGTGAGGTGAGAAATTATTTATTACTTCCTCTGTCCGCTACACTTCAATTTCACATCCAGATTATTGGAAATAGTCAATTTAATTAATTTCTGTGAATCTAAGTGTGCGATGGCCAAACTTTGTTGCAAAAGTGATATTCTTACATTATTAATTATTTAACAACTGTAACATAACTAAAACATCAAAATGTCAAGAACAAGGCAAAAAAAAAGTATAGAATTTAGTAAAGCCTGATCACAAGCGAATTTTGCATCATTTATTGCAAAGTAAGTCAAAAAAGTAAAATCAACAGATTCAAAACATTTCCACAATTCCCTTCTGCAAAAGAAACACATTAAGATCAGTGAAAAATAAAACTCAAAATTATTTACATGACAGATTAAAAAAGGAAAAGAAATTAAGAGTTTTACAAGTTTTGCAAAATAAGAGATGAAAATGTTTTTAAACTGTTGAGTCTATGATTTATTACGTTTCCTCTTCGAATTAACAAAAATTTGTTCAGTAATTCCTCATTTTATTGCTTCCTACGAAATGTAGCAACTATTTCCTGACAAAAATCGAAGTGAAATATGCCGGATTTAAATTTGGCGCTATTTTTAGTATAAGGTTTCAAGTCTAAAAAAATCAAACGATTAGTAAATATGAAATTGATTTAGGAAATAAAACCCCATTATTTATTTTATTTTTTTTATTTATTTTATTAAGCAATCTATCTACAAAAGAAAAAGAAAGAAAAACAGATGAAAGCTTTAATTTTAGCATTAATTAAAGAAAATATAAAAGTATATAATAGAAATTGATCTAGCAACTCCAAACTCCACAGAATGCTTACAAAAAATTTATTTAAATTGGAAATATTTTAAAATCCGTAAACTTCGTAGAATTTTCAGTTGAAATATTGGTCCATTTAAAGAAAATAAGAAACAGGACAATAAGTCATTCGAATATATTGCATAAATAAAATGAATACAAATGCAAGAGAAACCTCCCAGTATTATCAATAAAAAAGGATATACAAAGATCCGAAGAATCAAACAATACCTAATAGCAAAATGATTACTTCTAATATTCTAAAAATATTATCACTATAAGAAAATTTTAATATACATAAATTGCAATTTGCAAATTCAAATCTTGCTTTAATTTTGGGACACCGTTATAGTTCACACAGTGAATTTTACATTTTGTAGGATTAGAAAAAAATTCTTCCATTAGAAATTAGAAATATTATTATATATTCTATTATTTCTATATATTGTTTTATTGATATAAATATAACAAATTTGAATTGAATTGACATGAATTATTAAAATATATTGCGATCTTATATGAAATTCTGTTAGCTACGATTTTTTTTAATCTGTAACTAATTCGAATCTTACGATGCACTGAAATTACAGGCTGCATCCGAGATGGGTGGAGGTTATGGGTGTACACCATAAAACACATTCTTTTTTAATTAAACTTTGCCGCAATATATATAAACCGTTACTCATATAAAAAAAAAGAAGAGAAAATAAATAAATTAAGACACCGACACTTTTACAATTAACTTTTGGGTGTAAGTGCTACTAGGGTCTTTCAAAATTATTCTCAGTATGAAAGATTTATATGTTTCTGAAATTATCTTCATTTTTTTCAATATAAAATCTCCCCCAATATCAATAAATTCAATCCAATTTTATTTTTAATCACAGAAAATTATCTATATAAAATTGTATTTATTTATTATCATTAAATTAATTTGGATAAACTTTATTATTTATTAATTAACATTTTTAATTAAATATAAAACTATATAAATTATACAATATTATATTAGAAGTTAAAACTAGATTTTTGATATTGCACTTTATAAACTTTATTTTAGAGTTAAAATGATAAATTTGTAGATAAATTCAATCCAATTTTTTTTTAATCACAGAAAATTATCTATATAAAATTGTATTTATTTATTATCATTAAATTAATTTGGATAAACTTTATTCTTTATTAATTAACATTTTTAATTAAATATAAAACTATATAAATTATACAATATTATATTAGAAGTTAAAACTAGATTTTTGATATTGGACTTTATAAACTTTATTTTAGAGTTAAAATGATAAATTTGTAGAATAAAAGCAAAAAACTTTCCGAACAGGAAAGGTATGAGGTGTTCTTGTAGTATCAAATCCATCAACTTAAATACGTTATATAAACGCAATTTAATCTTATGAATGGATGCAACTAAAATGCAAATGTTTTGTATGCATCCGATGCAAAATAACAAACCTATGTTGTTGTGGTTCGAACAAAGGGAATCGAGGCATTCGTTCCACATTCGTGTAATTGATTATCGACTGTAATAAGGTCTAATGGTCAATAATCGAAACATGATTACGAGTAATCGAGTATCAATAATTGAAAGATGTTCCGCGATCCGATCATCAATTTGTTTAATAACCGAAGGTTAGATATCATAAATCCAAGTCCAATTGAGGTTCGAGACCGACTTTTAAGTTGCCCCCAACGCAAACCACAAATTAACTACGATCGACCTACAGCTATGACCCGACCCAAGTCCCATGTCATCATCATCATCTTCATATAATCACACGCTGCACGTAAATTAGATTGTTAACATAACCTTTGGGTATTTATTTAATAGTTTATAATAATAATAGAACAAAGTGTTGTGTCGATACTACTACAATGGGCTACGTAACTCTTTTAAACAATACCTCGCATAGTCCGGCTAATTATTTCCACCAATATCCCGAACTCTTTGAAACCGGACTATTTGAGGACGTTAAAAAATGCATAAACAATAATTTATGTATTGAAAAATTATGTACTAAATTTAGTTTGTTTTAAAATGTTCAAACCGAACTTTAGTGAATCCGAACAGCACGAAACCGCACTATGTGAAGTATGTATATTCACTTATATCACTTATAAGAAAAAAGATATTTCTTTATCACAAATATAATTTGGACCAAATACGACTTCTGTCTACAAAAATTATTATATTTTCAAAAGTAATTATGTTACAAATTAAAGTCAATATTATTTAAAAAAAAACAATTTATTTTTTTCCAACGCTTTGGCCAGATATTATTTGGAAATATTATTCTTATTTATTTCATTTTTTTCTTTTATAATTTTTAAATTAAACAATATATTTGTGGTTATGGACAACAATTTATTGTCAGTATATAAAATAAAGCTACAATTTTTGATTTAATAATCACATATTTATAATTAGATAAGAGTTACTGCAAGTCTTTAAAGTTAATGTTCACATTGATAAACCTTCGCTTTTGTAAATACTTTTGTTCTACTATAATATATAAAGTAATGCAGTTAATAGCACTTTATATGTTGTTATTATATAAATTAAATATACTTATATAAAAGTTAAGTCTATTTTAAATTCGTTACCTGAATAAGTTAACTGTAAATTAAATAACAGTTTTAATTATATAATATTTAAGTAAATTCAATGAAAAAGCTCCATGGTGTACGCATTAGGTATAATTTACTAGAACTGATTGGTGTATCTGCTTTAATGATTAAGTATTGGCTATATGTGCATGCTCATGCATATCAATGTGCAACGTGCAGTATTAACTACTAATATCTATGGAGTTTGTTACTTATTACCTTTATTACATTTCAATACGTACGTTATTATACCTTGATTATTTTAAATGGTGAATAATTTTTGAAAATTGTTTAAATCCACACACTATGCGTGACATTAGACTGAAATCTTTATTAGGAGTATCAACTATTACATAACAAATTTGTTATAATGGAGATTGATCTGATATTTTAATTAAAATTGCAGCTGCAATGACATGTAGTGTATTGTCAACGTACCAACTTTTAAAAAATCAGTATATTTATATAAGGAGCTATTAGGATAATTATTTTTCATAATGTGTCTATCTTAAGGTATCCATCCGGTATTTACAGTAATCAAACTTTCCAGTAAAACCGGTTAATCGTTTACCGGTAATGTCGTATACATTTATGACTCAAATCAGGTATAATAATGTATATTTCTAAGTTCAGGAGGAAGTGTGAGCGTTGCTCTTGAACACGTAAAAGTAATCAGTTTTTAGTAATATTAATATTATTAATCTTATTATATTCTTAA